ATATACAATCCTTCCCAAGTGTCACCTGAAGGCACTACTTTCCCATAGGCGAGACGCTCGTGTGGCCGCATGCAGTTCGCCTCCTCTAAGATGGCTTCGTGAGTGGCTTGCGCAATGCAGACTCCGTTTAAGTCTCCCATGGGCACGGTTTTCAACCCCAAAAAATACTTACGACCCTCAGATGCCCCATACTTCACAAGCTGCTCACCTGGCAACGGGTTGCCCACTGCGTTCCGGCAAACCCAGGCGTGCCTGTGCTTAAGCAAGTGAAAATAATTGGAGATATCGTCCCCCGAGCCTCTGACAGACTCGCCGTCGTGCAAAATCAGCTGACACAACAGACACCCTTGGGGCAACTCGGCCCACTCAAGCCTATCCTCAGTGCAGTTCTGGGGGCGTCTATCAGTGATGATCCTATCTGTCTCGGGCTTATGGGGCACGGCGAAGAAACCCGCTGTGACAGGCTTTCCTGCAGCATCTTTAAGGACATGCTCTTCAGGGATTAGGAGGGCTAAGTTCCTATCCAGAAGCTCTCTTGCAAAAACCACTTCGTCTGCCGCTCGCACTAAATGGCACGCCTTGGGCCGCTTGCAGAACTCTTCATGCGGCAGGGGCACTCGCTCGCTTATCTGCGAAAACTGCTCCAACTTCTCACCGCGGAGATGTTTTGCAGGGTCAATGACGGCCCCTTTCTCAGGCAGACTGATCCTTCCAAGGACTACTGGACGGGCAACCTTGGCGAGCTCAGACAGCGGTAAAAAACTGTGTGAGGATTCTGATGCACGTGCATGTTGCAGGTGTTCAAGCACTGAAGCAACGCCTCGATTTGGGCTGTCATCAACCTTCACTCGACAGAAGCGCCAGATTTCATTGAACAAATTAAGAGCATGCTTATCATGGATTGGTAACCACGCTGCTTGGGCACAGCGACGTGCTGCGCTCCGGCAGGCTTGGGGGCTAACAGGGCAACCGACTTCGAAGTAGTTAAACAGACCCCAAACAACCTCAACCCAATCCCTGGCTAGCAGCATGCCTCGTCTTCGCTTACGGTTCTCCGACACTAAAGAGAGAACTGTGGTCACTTCCATGACAGGCAGCGGCGACGGGAACAAACCTTGCAAACAGTTCTTGGACGTCTTACTGCGTCCGGGCCCAGACTTCCGGGAAAAAGCTTTTAGCATCCGCAGAAACCTACTGAAGGCTCCTCGCGACTGCCAAGCTTGCACTAAAAAACTTTCTAACGAGCCCGCGGCTGTCTCAGCGGGCTTGGTGGGTGAGCAGTTGCTGCTCAGCTCGTCGGGGCTCCGGCTCCACCGGTGCCCCTGCCTCTGCCTCGGCCCTTTGGGGGCCGCCAGACTTTGTCGCTCTTGTCGGCACCCTCGGCTTCCTCCTCCTCTTCGTCTTTTGGCTTCCAGGACAGCTGCTTCGACCTCTTCTCTAAGTCCTGCACCGCACGCAAGTAGTCCGCGGCGGCCTCCAGGTCCTGGGCCTCGCCGCCCCACTTCTTGCGGGCCAACGGGTCTTTGAGCGTCGTGATGAGCCATCCCAACTCCCAGTTTCCTCCGTCGAGAGCTGTTTGGTGCAGACACCGCAGAGTCAAAACAGTCATCAAGGCCGCGCCCTCTGGATCGTCGTTCAGGAGCTTCTTGAGAATGTGGGAAGCTAGGTGGTGCATGCGATACAAGCCCTTCTGTCTGCCGAAGGGGATACGCTTTGTGTAATCCCACAGGTTGTACGGGGTTTCGTCTACCCCCAGCTCTTCCTCGACTTCGGCGATGTAGCGCTTCACATGCCTCATTGGCTTCCTCCACATCCTCGTGGAGTTCTTTCTGTACCTGGCGAGGGCCCGTGCAGAACCGCGCAAGCCCTTGTCCTGACCGCCGCTGCTCGCGGAACTGCTGCTTGAGGAGGCTCGCCTGTGGCTCTTCTTTTTCCGGCTGTGTCGCTTCTTGGAGCTGTCCTTGTCGCTGGCAAGGATGTGCTGCAGCGCGATGGCCTGCAAAGGGTCCACATTTCCGCCCTTCTTTCCAACCAACTGCATCAGGTCCCTGACTTCGAAGCTGGCTTTGGCTGGCACGTCGCTGGAACTGCTGTCTCCGCTCTCCTCTACACCCTTTTTGGCAAACACAGCGTACTTCGTCTTCGCTCGTCTTTCGCGAGCCTTCCGCACGCTTGCGGTCTTGTCGACGCTGCCACCAGAGACGGGCTTGTTCTGCTTCGACCTCTCGAGAAGCTTTGCTAAGAAGGCGTCTGTCTCCGGATCGTCCACGTCCGGATTGCTTGAACTGCTCTCCTCGTCGTCTTCTACCAGAACTCGCCCAGAGGAATGCGCTCCGGCTGGATGCGTCTCCTCCAGCTCCTCCGATGCCGTGGCGAACATGGCATCTTGGTCTGCAGCTGTCAACAAACTGCGGCCCCTCTCTAACAGCATCTCGCGATTCTGTTCCAAGGCCAGGTAACCATCCGGCGGCTCTTCTGATCGAACTTGCTTCTGCATTCCTTCTACCAGAACGTAGTGCCTGTCGCCCACTTCGTAGGTGTTGACTTTGCCTTTCAATCCAGCCAGTTCCGCTTGGTCTGCTCTGGCCATCATGATCCACCCACTTCGGGCCTTCTTCAGCACAAGACACTGCCGCCATCGTGGCTCTTTGAAGCCCTCCCCCAGGAGCAGAAAGCTTCTGGGGGTGCCCGTAAAACTTCCAGCCATGGCCGCAAGAGGCCTACACGACTGCTGTACTTGAGGCTGCGTTTCGGGGCGGCAGACATCTCGACTCAAAGCTGAGGTTTCCATGCAATGCGATGCAGAGTTCTGAAGCGCTTCGCTGGCTGAGAGCCGACATGCCTGGTCTGGGAGCCCGGCATCTAGAAAGGCACCCAATGTCGAACGATCCGTGGAGATCTGTTGATCCTCCACGTCCAAGTTTTCATCACGAGGCAAGGCGGCCCAAGGTGCCGGACCTCGGAGTCCTCATCGCGGTAGTGTGCCACGAGCTCCTCCGAGCACAACTGCGGAGCACTGCGGAGCACTGCGGAGCACTGCGGAGCACTGCGGAGCACTGAAAAGGGCGGTGGAAAGGGCCCGGGGTCTTGTCTGGGGCACTCCTCCAGGTCCTTCTCGTTCAGCTCGTCCTGCAGCCTCAATAAGGCTCTTTGCTGAAAGCTCTGCACGGGATTTGTTGAGATGTCGAGATGGCGACTTAAGCAGAAGTTGCTGGTCAAATGCATTTCCCAAGACGATATAATCCTGCGCGACTAAGAGCCCACTGGCGGAAAGGCATTTGGAGGACAGCACGACGTCAAGCTGAAGCATAACTGTGTTCTCGACAGGAACTTGATACCCACCAGCTCAGCAGCTAAGTGTTGAAGTGAATCTTTCGCGCGAGCGGTGTCTCCCCGAGAAGGTCCTCCGCCTCGTCTTTCACCACACAGCTGTGCACATGGGATCCAGGTCCTGAAGCAGCACGACTAGCGGTGCCCAATGCCTAAGCCTTCCTAAGCCCGTCTGCCCAGAAATCACAATTCCAGCAAGCGCAAGCCCGACTGTCCCTCGTCGGAGGACACCACAGGAGCCCACGCAGTCCGCAATATCTGCGATGTTCGACTTGGAAGGTCAGCTCGACGCGCGGGTCTCGAAGGGCAAGCGTGAAGGCCTTGCGACGGCCTGCACCACAGCCGTGGGTCCCAGCAAGGCGACGTCAAGGCCGAGACCTGTGCTCGATTGACATCCCCCACTGTACAGACGCGCTTACTCGAAAGCCAAGTCAGCAGGCTGACTTGCTCCTTGACAGAGCTTCTGAAACTTTGCACCTGCAGAAGCTTAAACCACGGCTAGGAACCGCAAGTGCCAGAACGGGCAAGTGCAATCGTGCAGGCATGGCAGGAGAGCCAGATCCCACTTGTTGGGGACTGCTGGCTGCTGGTCAACGTGGGCAACAGCTGGCTGAGCCGAAACACTCACATACCTGTGGGAGCGAGGGTGCAAACACGCGTGGCATCTCCCGTATCCAACGATTGAAACACAGATTCCCAACCCGTGGTGAAGGCTCAAATTGTTGACCCACAGCAAACCTTCAGTGGCCTCGTCAGCGTGTTTGGGCTCGATGGGGCCGCGGAAGAGAACATCACCTAGTGAGCTCGTACAGCGCTGGGAAAACCCGTTTCCAACTGATGCTGGCAAGACAAACCCCGTCCGTCCCCTCCACGGTAACGGCGAGGGCTGTTGAAGAAGCCGCACGGAAGTATTTAAGCACTGCGCTCATGCGAGCAATGTCGTCAAGGAAGACGAATCGCTGCCTGCTCAGTGCACTCTAGAAAACGCAGCGCTCTCGGTCAACCTTGACGGCAAACCACCCTCTCCTCACCCTTGTGATTACGGAAGACTCCCTTGAGACCCCTTACAAAAAACCTGCAAGGCACAGCAGCATCTTGGGCACCACAATCCCGCAGGGGCTCCCGGCCAGCGCAACACCGACTCCTTGCTGCGGCGAAGCGCGGCGCAGTCCAGGAGCGGTCCGAAGTCGGCTGGCACGGAAGAGCCGAGTTGGAGAGGAGCAGAGGACAGGCGTCAGTTCCTGTCTGCCTCACTCTGCACTTTTCACACCGGGATCCACACCCGGGTCGGCATCGGCAGCTTCTGCCACGAGCTCCTCGACCTGCCGGCTTTGGCAGCGGTAAGCAGGCAGAAGCTTCAGAAGTGACACCTTGCAACCCCCCGCGGCTGCGCATCTCCGTCCTCGGAGAGGAGCTGGGCCCGGTAGCGCTGCACGCGCTCGGCACGGGTGCCCTGCCATGGCGCCAAACCACCTCCGGCAGGGCGGGAGTCTGACTCTAGCTGCCTCAGACCGTAGCGCTTCCAAAAACACGAGTAGCCCGAAAAACTCCAGATGGGGTGCTGGAGGTCCAGGATCAGGATCCGTTGCTCTGCGTGTCAGCTCGGATATCTTGGCAATGGCTTCGGCTTAGGTGCCGGGTTGGACGTTGGACTTGAAATTTCCCTACCCTGGCTGCGCGACGCCCGATCAATCTGAGCAAGGGGCTATCTGGTGGAAGCCAGTAGTGCTGCGCGAACTGTACAAGAAAGGCCTGCAGATTCCGAGAGCCGCTTGCCGTCAGGTCTGCATGGGCTCTCCAGAACCAGACCGATGCTTCTGGAAAAGAAGATGCTGTCGACGGCAACAGGTGTGGATCGGTTCTCACCGGAGCTTTGCTCGTCCCCTGCCTCCTGCTCCTCGGGGCTGAGCACACACTGTCGCAGCGGGGACCGCGAGCGCTCGTCTTTGCGGCGCCTCGGGCAGGAACCGAAACCTTCAACGGAGCGCAATGGCACCTGGAAGATGTGCGACTAGCTGAAGCTAATCCTGATTCGAGAACCCTGTAAAAACGGCTGAGCGCTTGTGCACGATATCAGATTTCTACAAATAGGGAGTCGTATGCCACTTAGACTTAAAAGCCAGCACAAGTCACTGTGCATCATCAACTGCACAACCTGTCTGAGGCTGACACATGGCTCGAGAAGTCCGTGCACAACATGCGGCACAGGCTTTGGCCTGCAGGGCGCACAAACTGTCGCAAGCCAAAGAGTGGCGTCCACCATAATCATCCCGGAATGCCTCGTTCGAGGACTGAGCCGAAGGTGCAGCCAAGCTCGGTCCCGGAAAGCGTGCAGGGCACCGTCTTCAAGGCTCAGTGACAGCGTGCTGTCGGGAAGTCTGCTGTGGGTCAGGGCTACATGGCTGGGAGCAAAGTCGGGCTGAGCTGCATTGATTCATCATGTGGATGCTTCGGGCCAGCAATTCTGATGATGGAATTGACGCGGTCTGTTGCTCTCGTGGCGACGCCTATCTCGAGAAAGCGAAGCTGGAAGCAGAGTGGCTGAGCATGATTCTGACAGCAGTAGCCTGAAACCACCCTGCCTGCAGGAAGCATGCACTTGCACAACTCTGTAGAGTGTACGTAGACTCCAATCAGCTCATGAGCAAAACCAGAGCAATTCAAGTGGAGCTCCAATGCCTCACGCCAATGCCGACCAAATACAATATCCAGGTCCACATAGTCCAAGCGATTTGCCAGCACTAGAGCCCGGATGTACCTCTTGTACTGACAGACATCCTCTGATATGGTTTGTCACGTTGTGCTAAAGTAGCTGCTAAAGTGTCTTCGAAAGCTTCGCTGAGAACCGATTGGAAGTGGGGACAACTTCGGAGCTCCAAATCTGAGAATTGAGATTGAGCTTGGTGATCTGCGAGTTTGTCTGATGCGGCCGGCTACGATTATGACTATGAGAGGTCCTACAGGCCTGGCCCGGTTGATGCTCACGCTTGATGAATCTCAACGCATAGCTGTGCACCAGCAGCTCATAAAGACAAGACGCTGTAACAGAGAACTGTCTTCAAAGTGAACAAATTCGCGGCTGTTTGACTTTTCGGGGTTTCCGGTGCTTTCACGAGCGTTTGGCTCAACCCCTCGTGTCAACGGGCACTCCAACTTTGGCATGCGGCTATGTTGAATCGATCGTTTGCACGTATGATGACTCATCTCTTGGCAGTAGCCACGCAAGCAGAGAAGCTCTGAGTCAACCAGGATCCCGGGCTCTCTGACCGCCTCCGTGTTTTCGAAGGCGACACGAGGCTCACGCTGCTCAAAGATCCGAATCACCTGCAGGGTGCCGCTGCATGCTTCAAGCTCAGGGAGGGGGGAGGGAGCAGCGGGATCTTGCTGCACATCGCCTCCGCCCGACTTGCATTGGTAAACTAGTACTAGTAGCTCTGCCTGCTGGGGATCGAAATGATTCACAGCCCGCAAGAGCTCTGCCAGGCCTCAGAGCTTCAGAGCTTGAGCAGCGTACTCAAAGTATTTGGATCTCTGCGATGCCGGGGGCGAAAGCGAATTAATCTTAGCACAGCCTAGGAGCGCCGAGGATTGTCAGGATCAGACTCCAGAGACCTCGCCAAGCCGAAGAAGGAAAGCTATGCTTCGAAGGCATGAGCATGGCATGAGCATGGCATGACCCCGTCATGTCCAAGACGTTGCTCCGACAAGATGAAGTTCAACAGATGGCTGACAAAATTGTGCACTTCACCACACTCCATTCTGTAGGCACGGCCTCTGCAGCTGGCCGGCTTTCCGCCGCCACCTCAAAAAAGCAAGAAAAGCAGATACAGCTCGGCCTATGCAGTGCGCAAGTCTTACGCAAAAGGTCTAGTTCGTAAACAAATGATTTGGAAACACACTCTGAGGGTGTAAATGAGCCGTTGTGGTAAATCTGCACAACATTGTTAAACAGGAGCACGGCTTCAAACCCCGAACCCTTACAGGTTCAGGAAAACTGAAAACACATACATTGTTGGTAAGCACCAGGTGTTGAATCCGCGGCTTCAATGTGGAATAGCAATATTGTGAAACTGATTCGTACAGTACAGATTGATCTCAAGTGCAGCCGGTGCTGGCTTCCTCATCACAACCTTGTAACCCTCCTGCTGACACTACCCGACTAGCACGAAGTCATACGAAGTCTGAAACGGTACATACCGGGGCCCACACGCCGTTGTTCGCACGCCGTCTGCAGACGAGCTGGAATCCTTGGCTTCGTCAGCACAGCGAACAACGACAAGCGCGAAGTCGAAGCTTCAAGTTGCTTGCTGCTTCGCCTTCGGTTGGAGGCAAGCACGCTTCAGTTTAAGTCTAATGTTGAAGGCCTGCAGCACAGCAAGAAGCAAGCAAGCCTCATCTGACCTCTCAAAAACCTTGAATCACCGACTCGAGCGGCAGGCAAGTCCAAGTAGTCATGCCTTACTGAGCCTGGGGACCAGATTGAATCTTTCAAGGATTTTGGGCTTGTTACAATCGAAATTTGCGCAACTTCATGCTGCAAGCTCTGAACCTAGCCCCGAACTGAGCTCCCTTCCCCAGAAAAGTATCGCCGCCGTGGTCCAAGGTTAGCGGCCTCAGGCACGCAAAAGCTCTGCTGCGGCGCTAGATGGTTGGACGCCATGTCATGGAGAGCAGTTTGAACGATGTGTCTGCAAGCTCCTTCATGCAGTCACGGGCAGGGTGCTGCTTCAAACCTTGCCTCAAAAAAATGTCCAAGCTCGCGGCGGTCACTGCACAAGGTGTCGAGCATGGCAAAGCTACAACAGCAGGCCTTGGTGCACAAGTCATCCCGTGTATCCTCCGGCATCATGTGTCAAGGGACCTACGAACTCAACTTGCAAACAAAGCGTGCGAACTGCAACCCTTCTGGAATGTTTCTGTGAAACTCCCGGCAAGGAGGCCGACGATATTCGCTGCCATCGCAAACAGCTCGCTGCCCGAGCAGCCTCGGCTTCAGCAATCGTGTTGGACTTGTGACCCACGACATGACCCACGACGACTGAAGAACTCTTGCTGCCCCCTGCTACTAAGAATGCTGTTCCACAGAATTCTAACTTTCGTTCTGGGTCTGTGGCCGAACGCGCTGTCTGCGGACAAAACGCAGCCATCACCTCCCACGCAGCACGTACACATGGAACGGCGAGCATATCAAGCTAGCAATGACATTTAAACATTTCTACAAAAAGCACATTAAACCAACGCTTCCCATCCAAAACCTCCTGATTGCCACTTTTTTGCCATTCAGACCGGCCTAAGCACCGGCCACATGCACCAAAGCCAGCCAAAGCTGCACGTAATGGTCTTTACGCTTGCTTCGTCATATGAATATTGAAAGATCGACATCAGGGTGTAAATCCAAGATCTCCACACTCACAGATGCAACACTTAAACGAATGACGTCGCTCTTTGGGTCGCATGCAACGCGAAGAGATGTTGCCAATTCTGAGATTTGCACACTGCACTGTCCGATACCATCCATGTAATACTTTACCAGATCAAGTTCATGATATTCTGTGTAGGACTGTTCGACCGAATGCTTCTGCCATGAGCCTGAAATTGCGAAACTCAAACACTGGCATGAATGAAAGTTTCCTTTCATATGCTCTCTGACAGTCACGTCCAAGCCTCAATGTTTTCCGTCCACGCGCGTATTCCCTTCATAGCCATAGAAATGCGTTCACATTTTCTGAATTTCCCACACAACAAGAAATTTCTGGCCATGGGAGCTTGATCCAGGGCAATTGCGGTCTTTGTTGCACAGGCGCTTGGTACACGGATTGCAAAAGCATTCATTCAATCAGCCGTGCTTTTGTGCAAGTGCCATGAATCCAAAAAATATTCGTGGTCGATTTGTTTTCAAGTGCACCGTCGCTTCCACCCCCGGAAACGCGCGATCTACAATATTTGGCATTGGTAGTTGGTAGCTTACGTGAACTTTCCTGTATCAAAGCCACTTTTTCCTAGCGAAGAACATTTTCGAATGCATGAAAGAAGGAAAAATATGACCTTTGGATCGTGCGCTCATCTCGATCGAGTTGCCGACAAAGCGTTAGCACACTGGGGGGATGGCAACAAGCTCCCATCATGGCAATACATTTTTTCAGATGTAGTGAACGATCGGTGCAACAACAACAACAACAGCAACAACAACAACAACAACCGCAGCAAGTAGCTACAGTAGCATTCGTGGTTCAATGATTCATTGAACCATTGAAACATTCATTCATTCGCTCATTCGTGCTCTTTCATTTCACTTCATGTCATTTCATTTCATTTCACTTCATTTCACACAGTGATTCATTCATTGACTCATTCCTTCATTCGTTCCTTCATTCCTTCATTCCTTCCTGCCTTTTTTCTTTTATTCATTCATTCATTCGCTTGTTCATTCATTTGTCCTTTCGTTCGTTCATGCACCCATTCATTCATTCACTCACATTCATTCATTCATGCGTTCATTCGTTCATTTATTCACTGATTCAATGACTCATGGGTTCATGGATTCAATGATTCGTGGATTCATGGAATCACGCATTCATGGATTCATGGATTCATTGATTCATGGGTTCATTGATAAAAGGAAGCCCTGGATGGCAAATGTAACTGAGATTGAATTTGAAATTCAGCCTTGCTTCATCCTCCAACCACCTGCCAGCAAAGGTACAACTGCACCCAAAATAGCTTTTGTGATTAAACTTCGCGTACATCCTTGCAGCGCATACAATGTTGGGAAATTTAGAATCTGCCCAAAAGCACACAACCTAACGACATTTGCAATGCACCAGCTTCCAGTCTGGGCATGCAAACTTGAACCTCAATCAAACAAAAGGTTTTCAGGGTAGCTTTTGGGTTGAGACTTTCGGACTTGAAGTGTAAAGTTTCAAAGTTTATTGAATTGGAGCTTTAGGGAGGGTCT